TGACAAGATCCAAGACACAACAATATGCTTTGGCGAACAATAGATTCATTATCGCACAGATCTAAGAAAATGAAAACGAAAAGTAGAAATAGCAAGATTTTATGGAATACCTGACTTCAGGATTGGTACAAATATTTCGGACCAATTGCATTCCGCAAATCCCAACGGCCACTCCGACAGCCGCGAACAAAGGATAAACCTACACCGATCAATACGCGTACAAAACCATCAGATCTGAACATACATAAATTAACAACACCAGAAAAAATCGGTAAAACGATTGTATTGTAGTTGTTGACAAAAAAGGAGAAGATCTAGGGACGAACCTCAGGCCTGAGCCATCGCTTGAGAGTCGGTGAAGCCATTGGAGAAATAACGCCGATTCACACGGACGAATATTAGGATTCAATGTTCTGAGAAAAGTTAGGCAACGCGTTATGGGAGCTGGAGACGGGTTCTCGTAGTTATTTATATATTCGAGAATATTCTTATTGGCTGCTCGCCCGTGACTTTTCTTATTTTTAAATTTATTGGTTGAGAATGATGCTCCTTGAACATGGACTTTTGACGGGGTGGGATAACACGTTTTTTTTCTTTCTTTTCTTTTTAAATTGTCCAATCATATATCGAGTCCCATATGTCATTTAACATGTTTGTATAGCAAAACTCATTTATCTATGGTCACCGCACTTTTCACTTAGGCCTCGTTTGATTGCACTTCAATTTCATTAAATTCAATTTTCCAGTAAAACAAGTTTTAGACAATTCAATTCTCTGAAATTTATTTTATTTCCACCCAAATTTCATTCTTGCAATCAAACGTACCCTCATCATGGTCATCAAACTTTAAATTATTTCATCATAGCCACTAAAAATTTCACAGTATCACAGTGACATCCAAACTTTAGTTTTTTTAAAGTTTAGGTAAATAACACTAGGAGTCTTAACGTTTGAACCTTTTCATGATGGGTCTCGAATCTTTGATATTTAGCCCTCAAGTCCTAAAGCTTCTAATTTTTCTTTTTCTTTATTTCTTTGTTCTTAATCAAACTAAGAGTATACTTGTCATTTTTACTCAAAACTTGACATTTTAACAATCAAAGTGACTTTTCCTTATAAAAGGACCTCGAACGCAGACGTTGAAAAATCTTGGGACTCATAGTGTTAAAAATCAAAGGTTTGTTACTCATTAACAAAATGTTCGAAGGTTAGGGACCCCAATGCTATTTATCCTATAAAGTTGGATGGACATAGTGAAATAAATTGAAGCTCGATAGCCATGGGGACACTTAGGACCTGTTCCAGTCCTTTTTTTTTTTGTAAAATGTATTTTGAAATAGTGGATTAATGGAGAATGTGTTGTTAAAAATTAAGAATTTTTTTTTGATTGCGTGTAATATTATTTTATTTAAGAACGTGTGATTAAAAAGAAGATGAAGAAAAATTTATTCTGAAAAAAGTGAAAATCGAACGAGTTCTTAGTAGAAAATTCGGTGGCCATGAGTAAAATTTCACCAGATAAGTGTAAAAAGGTCTGATTTTTCAAATAATTGCCCAAGATTATGAGATCTATATCATATTTCTTCAGTGAATGATTTTTCATTTGAAATATCAAAAGAAATAACTTTTCACCAACACTTGGTTGTATGAATCTATTATTTTCATCATTTACAAAAAGAATGTGGTCAGAAAAAATAAATAAATAAAAGAATTTGATCGGAACAATTTTCCGTCACCATTTCTGGTGGTGTTTCGTTCTGTGCAAATCATATGATGCCCATAGATGATCAACCCGGCATGGCCTACCAAGGTCAAGCCTCACCCACGGCTTCCCCTTCCCACTCCAGTGCAGCAAACTGACCGGACCAGGGTGCAAACTCCGGCAACTATTCACCACGTTGTCTCCACCGAGCCCGTGTTGGTTCCACCTATGATCCATGGCCTCGATTTCTCCTCCAAAAACCAGCAAAAACGGGGGAAGCGAACCCAGTTCGTAAATTCTTCTCTCCTTTTGTATTCTCATCCATTTCTCGATTTTTTCGGTGTATTCTCCTCCTCTCCATCTCTCCAAATCCATAATCATCACTCCTGTGTTGAAATAACACGGTTTCTTTCCTTCAAACGTTCGCGAAAGGATCGGATCTGACCAGAACTGATAGGTGAAATACTTGGTGAAATTAGCATGACAGTATTCAGGAGCACCAATTACTCTTTTACCAGTCAAATTTATACCCCATAGTTCCTGAATATCATCAATCAAAATGGTATCAGAATCCAAGTAAATCACACGGTTAACACATGGCTCAATAATCTCAGCCAAATAAATTCTTGCATAGTTCAATGGCTCCTCCAGTGCTTGACGAATTGAAGATGATATCAATTTCTTTACAAGCATTTCATTGAAGGGATAAACCTCGAAACCCAAACTTGGAAATGTCGATTCGACGATCTTTCTAAGCTCGGATGAACTGGAATCGGAGGCGATGAAATGAAAGTAGATGTTTTCCGGGCAGGAGGCGTGCTTCAATACTGAATGGACTGCTGCTATGGAGCCCCTCAAGTACTTAAAATCAAGGGTCATCGCTACATGAACAAAAGATGGATCGCATACAGAATATGAACTGCTCTTCACCAAGCATTCGTGTCGATTTAAAAATTTCGGAGCTTCATTGTATCCTGAAAAACGAGTATTATCATTCGGGAAAGATAATGATCGGATTGCGAATCCAAAGGATGGAACAAAAGAAAGTAGTATTAATACTAATGCTTGTCCAAGATAAGTCATATCAATAGATCAAGAAAATGTTGTGACAAATTTTGAATACAGAGGGAAGAGAATTGTTGAATAAAGTTTGTGGGGTTTGGCAGATATAAAGGACTGAGTAGATTTGTGTATGTACATAAACGCGTTTTGGTGATTAAAAATTATTTTGAAATTTCCAAGTCTTTACATTGTTGGGTTCGAGGAACAAGAGCTCTAAATGTCGGTTCATTGCATCATTGACCACATGTGACCATGTGAATTGTACAATATTTATTTTCTTGTTTTCGCAAAAGAATTGTGGGAAAATTGGTACCAATGGTCCTCGACTTGTTGTCCTAGTACTAACTTGGTCATAACCTTTGAAAAAGAGTTCATTATTGTTACTTGAGCCTTTGATCATTTTCAAATTTTAGACATCAGCCCAAGTTGAGAAGCAAAGCTTAAGTTCATAAGTTGGACATTCAAGATACATGCGATGATTTAATCATTGGACATAGATTGTGCAAATATAATGAAAGTTGAGAATCGACTGAGTTTCTATTGAAAGCATTTTGAGATTATAAGTTGGTGAGTTTTATGGAAGGTGTGGTCAAAAAGTAAATAAAAATTGTGAATCCATTGACATATTTAATTAAAATTGAAGTTTGACTAATTTATAATCTCAAAAATGCTTTGTCCAATAGGGACTATCTTTTTTTTTTTTTTAAGATCGGAGACCAACTAACTATTAAACCCATAGGTTGGATACCAACAGTGCAATTTTATTTGTTTATCATTTCATCGACAGTTTCTATGGGTTGTTTCACTTTCAGGATGCTGCAAGACATTCTTAGCCGTGTTTGACAACTAATATTCGGAGAAATAGAGTTTTGAATAATGATTTTTAGAAAAATTGTGTGGTTAAAAGATAGAAAAAAAATTTGGGTTTACATGTAGGATATATATATTTTGTGAATGCATGTTTGAAAATAAGTACATAGAAAAAAGAGTTCGAAAATAATATTTGTCAAATAGGAGCTCAATTTGGAATTCAAACATGGAATTTCATTCCGTGTGGTGGAAGTCTAATTTTAAAGATTATAAATAATTCTAGGAATGGTACCATGTGACAATAATAAGCTGTTGATGAAACGTTTGGGAGTGTAAAAAACGGCAGTAATCTGTCTTCTTCCACTCGTTTTCAGTTTGGAATAAATGGTAAGAGTGTCAATTTGTGGAAATTTAGATACATACCTAAAGACAAATATAGGTATAAATGTTCGATCCATCACTACGTCTCTTCAAGTACAAATATCTCCGGAGTATTTTCCAGATCCGTCAATCCAAACGGCCCTTGTAATAATACGTAAATGCATCCTGGGAAGCAATATAATCTTTGCCACCTGATGCTGAAGGAAGATATCATATATGAATTAAGAAGTGAGTTATGTACAAAAGCAAAGAAATCCTTTATAAAAACTTCAATGTACATTCTGCTCCACAATTTTTCCTTGTGCAGTAACACTCATGTAGCAGAATTCACAGCCCAAAACTTGGGTTATTTTAAAACTATTACAAGAAAAACTACAGGTCTACTTCTGCCTATAAAAAAACAGTACTTTGAACAAACACGACTCTACGATTGGCCTCAAGGGCCCGACCCTATTTACAGAATTATGGCAGATGTATGCCATTGAAATAGCTTTTTTCACAAGGTAGTACAGTCCCAAGCAATTTTGCACACTCATTGTTTATTTGGTTTGTTGACAATGAATGAACTGGTGCAGCAGCAGCATGTTCAACCAATCCAGAGCCATTGAACTCTATCAACAGGGAAAACAAAGCAAAAGTGAACACTTGAATCTTTAGAAGGAAAGAAAATATCAATATCACCACACAAACACACACGTGTATATAGAATTAGAGAGGGGGAAGGGAAGTTCATTGTTCATCTCTTCAACTTTGTTCCAGAATCAAACTCGAGAAAGAGTGTACATACCTTGATGGTTATGGCATCACAGAGGCCATCAAATATTGGTGAAAACGCTGTACCCTCGCTTGGTTATTGAGGGAAGATTTCCCTTCGGATTTGTCTCTTACCTTTCCCAAACGAATAAAGGAGTCCTCCGTGTCCAGGACATAAGAGATCTGAAAGCACATTTTGTGATTTAGTAGCAAATTAAACCACAAAATATGAGCATATATGCATGATATATTGACAATACTAAACAGAAATTCTGCTTGAACTAAAAGTCTACCTTGGATGTGGTGGCGGAGGTCTTACATTCTAGACCGTTCATCGTCAGAACATTCTCCATAGCCAGATGTAGAGCAGAAAACTCATCCATATATTTACGCATATTTCTGCAAGTGTTACGAGCAGATCAGACCTTGTAATAGATGAATTTTGAGTAATTAATTAATAATTTTAAGGTATCTTTGAAGATTAAGTCCAGAAATAGAAATCAAGAAGAACAAGAAAACTTCCCTTCTTTTTTTTTTTTTCTTTTCTCTCATTCACATAAATTCCAGCTACTGACTCTTTTTGAGAGATTGGTGATGGTAGAACAGCTTTTGACTCTAATACAAGCACTATATGCTATTTTCTCGTATTCTTGGTCATATTTTATTAGAGTGTGCTACTGCAAATTTCCTCCCCTCTTTCAGATAAGAAAAATGGTGCTATATTTGTAAGTTGCATAACCTAGAAGATAACACCAATACCTCTTCAACACAACAGCAGATGACTCCTTTCTCCCATTAGTAGCTGAGAGGTAATCGTTGTAGAAATAGTCCGCGAAGTCGGGGTCCACTGAAACTGGAACAACTTCAGACTTCTCATTTCCATCATCCATCAACTGAATAGACAATCGGGTGGGGGAAGATGTCTACAAGAATGAAAAATGACTCAGCATCCAAACAAACTTTAGTATTGATTTAAGACTAGAAGTAATCGATTCAAGTGCCCAAAAACCTACACATTCAATTCGGTAAATGTTCTCATCATGCAAAATGACATGGACATTTTCGTAATACACCAAATCAACATAGTGCGACTTCCGAGATTTTTCATATTCGTACAACTGAAGCAGCTTATAGCCCACCTCATCACTTGAAACAATTTGTAGCTGCAGAAAAAGCATAGTAAAACAAAGTAAAGGAAATTGAAAATAAGGTAAAACAAACTTTTAAGAAGATTACCTGTTTGACCAGCTTATATATTAGCTTATCCAAAGTAAATAGAACATAAGACTGGTTTCCAATCAGTGAACGGCAGTCTTCCTCAAATTTTGAATTATCAGAAGATCCATCAAGCAGCCCAAACAGCGCACTCTTAAATCTGTGTTGAACAATTCATCAGAAAGTTAGGGGAAGAAAGGGTTCCAATAAGATTGTAAATAGAAGATATACACAGCTGAATCACCTGGTATAGGGATCAGAACTTGCATCCTTCGTGGTTTTCAACTTGGATTCTGCAGATGCTGAGTTCACCTTCGCTGATAGTACTCTCTCATACAGTGTCTAGCAGCATGAAAGAAAATCATGTGAGGCAAGTAGTGATTAGTATTCCACTTTTCATTGGATTTTTTCCTTGTTTGTTCACATTTGACAAAGGGGAAAAGGAAAGGGGTACCATAACTTTTACCTGATGAAGCCTGAAAAGCACGTAGAAGGTGTCGTTTCCATAGAAAACTTGATGATTATTTCCCTCACTGCCTCGCGATGGAGAAGCCACGTACTTCGAGAGAGGTTTACATGTGAGCAGAAAACGCTCAGCTTGAGGCAAAAATGCACCATCACTTGTATCTTCAGCCTCACCTTCACCGTCAAGTTCTCCATCTTCCTCTTCCTCGTGCTCTTCTCCTGAGCCATCAGCAGCAGCAGACTCATCTTCACCAGCCTCAGATGCATTTTCACTGTCTTCGTCGTCAGCATCTGCATCTGCATCATTTTCTGCATCTGGAGAAATCTCCTCATGACCTCTCGTTTGAAAATGCATCTCATCATGGCCACGCTTTTTCTCGAGCATGGATTGTGAGCCACCATCCTGACGGGCGGCTATATTGTCTTCAAATTCACCCCTGGGAGAATTCTTATCAGCTCCGTTATCAACTTTCCAGACATCAACAGAAACCTCATCGTGCCGAGCAAGCCTTGACCCATCAACGTACCCTCCATTTGCCAGATTCAGTCTTGAAGTCTCACCACCCTGTGCACGCAAGGACACATTCACAACTAGATTAGGAGAAAAAAATACAGAAAGAAAAGAAGCTAAGCTTATCCAACAGCCCCACCTAAATAGAAACATGAGAACAAAAAGGAGTTGAACCAAGTGGAAAAAATAGTGGAATGATTATTATAAAAAATGCATCAACTTCAGCCCAAAATGAGGCTACAAAGTCTAGCTAAAAACATACACCCATACCTCTGAGCACAGTGTATCTTCCATATTAAGCTTGGACCCATGGCTGTCCTCACCAGGATCATTATTAGCTCGAGAAGAATTTGCAGCACGCACTTGAAGTTGAAAATGAATATTCCATGATAGCAAATAAAGAATATAAAAACATCAATACAAAATGCGAAAGAAGATAAGATAAAGAATGCTACTATAAGTCACACTAATACAATGTCAACATATCAGCCAATTTTCACAGATCAGTAATAACATGGAACCAAGTGTTCAATTATATACATACCATGATTTGCATCTGGTCCTATGGTAACAGCTGTACCAGAGTTGGGTAATCGTCCACCAGATGCCACGGTTGATCCATCTGCTTTAGCCAAAGTATCAATATTTGCGAAGCCTGTCTTACAGGAATTGACTCGTGGAGGTGATGAGTGTGAATCTCCATTGCAGTTAGGCTTTAGTTGCTTCAAGTTCATGGTAGGAGCATCAGCATTTGGACTTCCATTGCTTTCAGTTACGCTAGTCACTGTGTTTTTTGCAGTTCCAAGCTTAGAGGAACCATCACCTTCAGTAACCTCTGATTTACGACGCCATGACTGAACACCCAGCATTGGCTCAAGAAAAGTAGTATAGAACCTCAAAACTTTATTTGATTGCTCTTTCGTTGAGCAGATCTCTTCGGATGAGTACTTAATAATTTCATACAAGTCTTCATGAATGTCAGCATCAGCATATTCAAATTCAAGATTTGGAAGGATGGAGTAGTTACTTCCAGCAGCAATACCAAGTAACACATGATCCTCATTTTCATTTTTCTCCCTGATCTCTTTGATTTCTGCTACCAAGGCTGTCAATCAAAAGCATGAGAAGAGTCATGGGAACCAGAAGATACATGAAAACACCCCTAAATCCTTGGTAACCACAACATGACACTCTTCTAACCTATTCCAGCGAGATAACATCACACTCATGAATGGGACCCTCTTTTAAGTCTCCAAAAAAATGTCCCAAATAGATAAGTCGTGGCTCCAGAAAATACTAAAGACAATCTAAAATGGATAGTCATTGTCAGTCCGCTCATGCAAGAATGTCATGAACACAAAATTATGTAGAGATTTTGTCATCATTGATCATCATTATCCAATTTACTTAAGTTCAGACTTGAACTACCTATATGGTGGGCAAAAGCATAACTTGCAGGATATGGTAATAACTGAAAGAGCCACGTGATTACCAGATTAAGAGAGAAGATGCAACTAAGGATTTATAAAACCTCAATGCTCAACTTACATTTTGTGCCCAAGTTTTTCGAATCCTGTTGCTTGAAATAAAAGCTCCGATGATCAAGAGACTTGTAATGGTTCTTAGCATAAATCTCAGCCCATACTTTGTTGAAATCTGCACGACACTTGGTCCACTCCTCTTGCTTCTGCTTCAGGCGGCTAAGTATTACAGGCAATGCAAGTGATGGATTTTTGCGCAAAATGTCCATCACATCAAGACCATGGTCTCCATATAGACGTTCGATGCATCTCAAATTCAGAGCTTTAAAAAGTAAAGACAGAATCAATCATCAAATATATATATATATATATATATATATATATATATATGTTTACAGTAAATGAAGGAGAAAGTAAAATAGCTTTCAGTACAAGCTCGTGATTTATAATGGCAAACCTGTGAAATGTTCCTCGATACATATGGGATTGTCTGAATTGTCATTTATACTGTTCAGCAGCTCCTCTGCGCGCTTCGCAGCCGAGCTCACAGACTCCAACAACATGTCTAGCTCAAATCTGAAATATATGACAAAAACCCAATGAATATAGAACTAAACCATTAGGAGAAAGTCTTGTCAATAAATAAACATAGGAAAAGGAAGTAAAAACAATAGCAGAGATCTAAATATTTCTTTATCGAGACAAATGAATACGTAGCAGGGACACTACAAAGGATTCCTCTCCTTTAATACCATATTAGCATTTTTCCTAGGAAGGATTAAATAGCATTGGGCAGTAGTACAAAAGAAAAAAGGCTAAATCCTCATTTATTATACTATCCACTCCTATCCAATACTGTTTATTAAACATATACTGTAAGATATATGTTGGAACTCAAAGATATTGCTAGACCATCCTAGGGGATGGGGATAGGATAAAGCCAACATTTCAAATTTTACATTGACAAGGCAAAGGGTTTATAGACAAGCACTAAACGGCTTGAAATAAAGTGAAGTCTAGTAAAACCAATACCTGTCATCTTCACATCTAAACAGGCTTTCTTCATATTGATTTCTGCGCATGTGCTTAAATGAGTAATCCTCACTTCCAGATGTCACAGATACCCAATGGTCATTTAAAACTTGAGCACCAATTTCCGATCTCTGGCTTGCTGCAGCTATCGGGTACTGCAAAGATTAACTTTTTCCATAAGATATCGAGAGAACAAAACGAAGGTAAAACTGTAGCCATTGGACCGAGTAGAGATGCTAAAGAATCATACATCTTCGGGAAGAAGTCGGTAACTGGGAGTGCAACTTTGACAGTTAGAAAGGTCAAGCTCCTGAATGGACTTTCCCAAGTACTTCGAACTGTATCTGTCCTTTTCTTTACCTCCATCCACTTCACGCTTTTGTTCTCTGTCTTTATCCTCTATTCTCAAGGCTTTCGAAGAATGTCCTTCACTCCACAATGTCTCTGCCATTAATGTTAGTATGAAACAGCTTTGTTAGATTAAATATAGTAAACATGCAAACAAATAATCAAAAATCTATAGTAGAAGAATAACATACTTTTGCCCATAACACCAGCAAGAAATCCTTCTGCAGAATAGAAAATCAAGTAAGAATCAAAACAAATTTAAGCAAAAAAATTACAACTTTAACTACAATAAAATTCAGTGACTACCTATTCGCTCACAGCGCTCGAAAAATTCATTGAATCCCTCCATAAGATCAGGATATTTTCCAAGTAAATCAGCAATCTGAAAATACCTTGTGTTATTACCAGAAAGATAAATGTATTTAACATGTAGCTCAGCAAATAAAATAGAATACGGCCTGAATCTAATAGAAAAGTAAAGATCAAGCAATAAAGATCACTGAAAGATGCAAAGTTAAAACATGAAACATGATGCTATCCATTGGAAAGATTTATAGTGCAACTTGAAACTATTACGGAAACATTTGTTTCTCGCATAATGTCAGAAATAGATACATACCCAAAAGTCCGGAGTAAATTGTTAAAATGCATTACGAGATGACATAATATACATACCAAACCATGCAATTGCTTTTTAGTAATTATCTCCGTGCTGTAAATATGTAGACATTTCAAAAATGACTGGTAATCATCTGCACTGCCCAACCGCTCCTTAACTTTTTCACAGAAAGCAAACTCCTGACTGTACATACCTGGAATGACCAAGTAAACCCCAAGTTAAAAAGACCTGATAGAAAGTCAAATGTAGCTATGTGACAGTACTGTATGCAATGCTGGTCTACAACTTTGTTTCCTCTATATAATTTTTTCTCCTTTTTCGTATTTTAACCTTTCTCTTTCTTTTGTGTGTGGGTATGAGGAGGGTGAAGAATAGTTTCCCTAACTAGTGCATTGAATGTATTCATTTTTTATAACTATAAACCCTCACCAAAATATATATCTTATTCCTGAAGGAAAACAACAAATATACGTTTTAAGGTATAGGATTACATGGACTAAAAGGCTGTACATGCACATGGGATTGGGGGAAGGGGGGGTGGTTAAATAATTGCGCCAAATAGCGCAATTAATGTACTTATCATTTCTACAACCACTAACCCATCAGGCCATCACCAAATGGTATCTCTAATTCCTGAAAAGGTAAGCGACAAACACATGTTGAACGTATAGGACAATGTGAAGTAAAATGCAGTTCATGCACATAAAACCAAACAGATTTGCTGGAGTCAAAATAATAAGGCATCACTCACTTTTCAATGCATCTTTATCATCATAAGAGACAAAATTAGAGTTCCCTCCAAAGTTATCAACCTTCTGAGCAGATTTCCTTTTGTCAGAAAGTCGATGCATGCTAATATCTCCATTATTTTCATTGTCAGTATCTCTGTTGTCCAGATAACGATTTCTCTTATCTTTGTTCTCCCTTTCAGCACGTTTCTTCCTATCCTTGTGTGACATCATCACTGTTTTGTCATCATCCACCTCTAGCTGCTCGACACTAGGATCACGTTCTCCGCGGGAGATAATAATCTTATTCCGTCTTAATCGTTGCTAAAATAGTATGGGGCATAGCACATTCATAAAGAAAAATCAGAAAACTAGCATGTCAGTGTGCGTTTCAGTGTGTTTTACGTACGTAAATATATATATAACCTTATCCACGTGAGAGTGTCGCATTGTGGGCATAGCAGAGCTCCTCTCATCAAAACGATGTAAGGGATGCCGGCCAAAAGAAGCAAGTACAGTTGAGGCTGTGGTTGAGGTATCTGGCAAAAATCTGGTGAACTGTCGAAGAAGATCTGGATGTTCACTAAAAAGTGCCGAAACCTGCATGTAAATGTGATCCAACCTAAAATTATAGGAATAGATAATATGGAAAATAGAAATCGCAAAATTCATATGATTAGAATAAAAACATATAAGAAGATATGTGTACCTCTTCATAGACGTCAGCAATACCCTTATGTTCATTTCGGTACATGTTCAAGATTGCCAGGAAATCTTTATAAACCCGATCATCGTCTTGGAAACGACTCTGCAGCAAAACAAAATCCATGTAGATATTTCTTTATAATTCAATTACCAAAGAACTAAATCCGGAACCTATTAACAAATAAGTGATTGGAAATATCACCTTGATCTTATTTACAAAATCTATAGCTTCCCCAAACTCAACTGTTCTTTTTGGAGCCCCTTCACCTTCTGTAAGGGTGATTTCATAACCTCTAGGTAAGAAGGTATTGAAACCAAGGATAAGATTAGGATGCCCTTTGAATAACTCTTTCACCCTCATTATCACGCCAGTTGTATCGACTCTGCCAGAAACAAATTATTATAAAGTTACAAAGAAAAGCTCCATTCACGGTCAATATTCTTAGCAAGAGAAATTCACTTACCTTTGAGCCTTGAAATCTTTCATGACATCAAGGAACCTGTCATATTTTTCTCTTTGATCTTGGAACATGTCCTTAACTTCCTTCAAATAAGTTAATGCATCATTGGTGGTAAGTTTTTGTGTAGCACCACCTCCACTACTCCCTCCAGCACCACCACCATCACCTCCGCCACTCCCTCCAGTACCACCTCCTCCTCCAGAGGCATGCAGAGATCCATTCCTTTATCACAAGTAAAAATATAAATTGCAATCAAAATCCCGAACAACCCAACTTCATAAACCAAAAGCTGTTAAACATAAATGCAAGTTCTTGTTAATTATGGGTTCTCTTGCCTACACTCTTCGAGCATGATTGGTACAAGGGATTGGACATTACAACGAAAAAAATTGAACTTTTTCATCTACAATCCTATCCAATATGTTCCTGTCCAATGTACCAAACATGCCATTAAAGTTCCATTTTCTTCATCCCAACAAACTTCATTACGTCCAATTACCTCCTAGGGTTGTTCCATAAGCTCATTAATTAGGCACTACTACCTGAAGTCGGGTTAAAGTAACCCCCCCCCCCCCCTAATACAGCCAAAAAACCATTAATAGGCTTAGNTTTACCCTATTCTTCTGTGATTTCTGTGCCATTTTCTTCTTCATCTTCCGCTGCTATTATGGAGAAGACCTAACCAGACTTTCTAAGACCTATGATTAAAAACTGGAACAAAATAATTCTGATCGCAAAAAAATACTGGAATTCAGTGAATTAACTAAGAATGCTGTCATTAAAACACAGGCTTTTCAATGAAATAATCGAACACAACTTCAGAACAAAAAATCACATGATACCACAGATATGAAATATAAGTAAATCAATCAAGTAACAGGCAATTCTAGAACTCACGATTCTCCTCGAGAAGAACCAAATGGCCGCTTAAATTGAGGGTTCATACACACCTCATCTCTTAATCGCTTCATCCTACTGCAAAAACAAGACAGATAAATCAACAACACGTTAAAAGAAAGAAAAGAACAACAAAAAATCAAAACTTCATTTCTCATTTCCACTCAAAACATACCTGTAAAGTTCCCTGAAGCGATAATAAAAAGGGTGAATAGATCTAATCTCAACAAACAAATAAATGGCAAATCAGTTGAATTCTTTAATCACACTCTCGTTCACAGATTCTTATCCCAAATTCTTTCTTCTCTCTTTCCTCTCTCCCTCTCTCTCTCTCTCTCTCTCTCTCTGTGGGTTTTTCTCTATCTATGGATGGAGAAGAAAGCAAAACATACAACTTAATATGAAGAGAAACAAGAGGTAAAATAGGTGACAAATGTTTTTACGTGACCTGTCCTCTCTATATATGACTCCAATTTCCGAAATTTTGAAAAAACTCATGGGCCTGTATTGTTTATCTAACAATTTCTCTTGAGCCCAAAGTCAGTTGATAGCCCGTTTGTGTGTACTCTGGCAATTCTCTCATTATGGGAAATGTAAAGTGGAAAGGAAAAATAAGAGAAAAATTGTAGAAAGTGAAGTTCTGATGTCCAAGCGTGTAAATTTTTATTTCATGTTGTTTAAGATCCTGTGAAGTGTCGAGATGTTAACACGTGTTAAATATTTATTTTCATTGATTATATTACTAGTGATATTATTCTGTTTTATTATGATATACGTACGATGCTTGGAAATGTTAACACGTGTATAATATTTATTTTCATTGATTACAGAGCTAATCGTACCAAACAGGGTATATTTTGTTTTATTATGTTATCCGTACGATGCGTGGATAGACAATGTATGTTGGTCATTTGGTTTTAACTAAATATATTAAGAATCAAGAACATCGATTGTTTTGTTTTATTATGTTATCTGTACAATACGTGGAACAGATATTATTGGCTTTAATTACATATGTCGTTTTATTGACAATCATACACTTTTCGAGGTCTTTTTAACTAAGATCGAGAAGAGATTGATGACACGTGTTGACTACTATAACCTACCCAAGTTAATATTTATAAGTAAAATGGGAATAAAAAAGAAAGAGAGTTGCTACAAGTACATCGGGGTGTACATAAGGGTGTCCATAATGGACACCCGGCACCTCTCCATTGAATGAAGTGCAGGTAGGGTCGACACTTCATCCAATGGTGAGGTGCCGAATGTCCATTATGGATACCCTTATGTACTCCCTAATGTACATGTAGCATTTTCCAAAAAGAAAAGTAAGGTTGAAAGTCCTTGTATAAAGTGAAGATTTGATGTCAAGCATGAAAATTTTTATTACGAGCTTTCAAGTTGGATTCAGTAAAGAGTTGGACGTTAAATATTTATTTTCATTGATCACGGTGATGATATTACTAAATCGGGATCGTTTTGTTTAATTATATTATTCATATTTTGCGTGGATGGATGTGAGAATTAGCGACTCTTTGGGCCCCATTTTTTGAAATTTTATTTTTCCTTAAACTTGTTTCCAACCAATAAAATAATTTTGCACATAAATTCAAAATATTTCTTTACTTTTAACCGTACATTCTCAGAAAAATCATGATTACAAAATTCATTTTTCCACAAAAATAAGGCTCGAACAAGGGCATAATGATATTAGTAATATGGTTGTAATGAAATGTGTTATCGCGTTGACAATTCAATATCTTTAAGCTAAAATTTAGGAGACACTAAAACATTTGACTGATGAGCATATAACCTGCATTTAGTTAATATTTTATCGTGATGAAGTAGAATGTCGAGGAAAAAGAAAAGTAAAGTCGAAAGCAAATGAAGTTTTGACATCAAAGCATGAAAATTTTCATGGCATGTTGAGATTTTAAGTTGGATTCCATGAAGATTCAGAACGTTAGCACATGTAAATATTTATTTCCAATTAAGATGGGACAAAACACTTGAATACATAAATTTCCAACAAATAGATTCGTTTTACTTGAAGTATTCTTTCATTATATTACATTAGTGCAGTTATATTTTGCCATAGGAAATTCTACCATAGTAACAAAATAAAGATTTATTATCTATATAATATTTAAATCTTGATAAATAATTTCTTTAATGATACATTCATTCGCTCAAAATATGTACTAAACACATATTTTGGTGTGCTTATAACTACTCGCCACTTGGGGCCTTCTATTTTATGTGGTTTAAAATAAATAAATTGTAAATCCCATATAATTATAAACGTTTATAACTATTCCGGTCCACTATTTTTTATTTTATTTTATTTTTGGTTATTTATTTTTAAAAATATAATTTCAAAATTTGTTCACATGAGTATTTTCAATATTGTCCATCCAACAAGTCAGTTCTTGTAAGATGGGCCTCACGAATATATATACTCTGCTTAAAGATGATGGATCAACTGTGGCATCTGGTGGACAATTACCCAACTCTGGTACAGCTGTTACCATAGAACCAGATGTAAATCATGGTATGTGTATAGGAACACTTGGTTCTATGTTATTACTGATATGTGAGGATTATCTGATATTTTGACATTATCTTAGTGTGACTTCTTGTAGCATTCTTCATCTTATCTTCCTTTTTCATTTGTATTGATTTATATATGTTTTTGATTTGCTATCGTGGAATATTCATTTTCAACTTCAAGGGCGTGCGTGCTGCAAATTCTTCTAGAGCTAATAATGATCTGGGTGAGGACAAACATGTGTCCAAGTTTAATTTGGAAGATACACTGTGCTCAAGTTTGAAATCGACGAGTTTTCATTCACGGTGTTTTATTTCATTTCCTCTGCATCATATTGGTACTAGAGCCAATGATGCCTTCAAGTTCAGGATCGAGGCTGACAGTTCATTATACACATGTTGATGAGATCATGCGTCGAGAAGAGATGACGCAACTACGCCAACACATGGACTTGATGAAACGATTGGCCACCATCAGGAATCAACAACTAGAGGTGTTGGAATTCTTGGGTAGCGCAGTTGGCAATGAGTTTTTCGGATGGCAATTCCGACATGAATTTAAATCTTTTCAATCCCAAACAATGAGATAAGTTCGATGGTGATGACACTTGTGATGATCCGCCTATTTTCGATATGGAGAATGTAACACGAGCCGATAAAGGGAGAAATAATACATGGTAATTCATTATAAAGGGAGAAATAATAAATGGTAATTTATTCTTTGACGTTTCTACAAGGGTTATTTGATAGAAGATTGTTCGGCCCCAAGGAAGAGAAGAATTCAGGTAGAGGAACTACATAGACCGGAGAAAGTAATATGTTAACAAATGTTAGTTTTAGGTGCTCCAAATTTCAATTCTTGGGCTCAGAAACAATTACAATTGACACCACACGACTCAAGCTCGACCCAAAACTTCCTACACCCGGTTGCCACAAGTCTCACTCTTCTATTAATCTACAAAGGATCAATAATGGTGGATGCAATTAACCACAAAGGAAGGAAAATGAGAAGGAAGCAATGGTTTTACTCAAAACACCAAGAACGTCTACTCTCTTTCTTCTCACACAATTGCACCACACACATTCACGTTTTGAGGAGATGGATATATATGTGTGTGTATATATATATATATATATATGGATTAGGTCACATATTATTAGACCAAAGAACCAATTGATTGGGCCAACTAAATAACAAGGTTAATGGGCCTAACAATGATCCAAAACCACAAACTAATCACAACTACCATCAAGAATCAACAACTAGAGGAATATCTGAATTAAAATTGTAGCCAGATGAGTTAACTTTCCAACGCATTTTGTATTTCCTCAATAGGATATCGGAATACAAAGTTATAATAAAAATATTGAAAGAAGGTGCAACTGCTTGTTTAAAACAAGAAATTTTATTATATAGTCCGTTATATTGAGACCTATTTTTGGCATAGAAAGTGATCTAATTGGAGAATGATATCTAAATTAAAGCTATAGCTAGATGAGTTAGATTTCCAATGCATTTTGAATTGCCTGAATTGGATATCGAAAGAAAAAGTTATGATAAAAACACTGAAAGAAGGTGCAGCTGCCTGTTTAAAACAAACAATTCTGTTACATAGTCCTTTATATTGAAACATATTTTTGGCATAGAAAGTGATTGAATTGGAAAATGGTGTTTGAATTAAAGTTGTAGCCAGATGGGTTAGATTTCCAACACATTTTGAATTGCCTCAATCGGATATTGGAATACAAAGTTATGATAAAAACATTGAAGGAAGGTGCAGCTGCCTGTTTAAAACAGGAAATTCTGTTACATAGTCAGTTATATTGAAACCTATTTTTGGCATAGAAAGTGATCGAATTGGAGAATGATGTCTGAATTAAAGTTGTAGCCAAATGAGTTATATTTCTAAAGCATTTTGAATCACCTCAATCGGATATCGAAATACAAAGTTATGATAAAAATACTGAAAGAAGGTGCAGCTACCTGTTTAAAATAAAAAATTCCGTTAGTTTTTCCGTTAAACCAACAAATTCCGTTTGTTTTTCCGTTAAACCAACAAAATTCCGTTAGATAGCCACTTTATATATAGAAGAGATATGGATTAGGTCACATATTATTGGGCCAAAGAACCAGTTGATTGGGCCAACTAAATAACAAGGTTAATGGGCCTAACAATAATCCAAAACCACAAACTAATCATAACCACCATCAAGAATCAACAACTAGAGGTGTTGGAATTCTTAGGTAGCGCAGTTGGCAATGAGTTTTTTGGGATGGCGATTCCAACATGAATTTAAATCTTTTCAATCCCAAACAATGAGATAAGTTCGATGGTGATGACACTTGTGATGATCCGCCTATTTTCGATATGGAGAATGTAACATGAGCTGATAAATGGAGAAATAATATATGGTAATTTATTATAAAGGGAGAAATAGTAAATGATATTTTATTCTTTAATGTTTCTACAAGGGTTATTTGATAGAAGATTGTTCGGCCCCAAGGAAGAGAAAAATTCAGGTAGAGGAACTACAAAGACCAGAGAAAATAATATGTTGACAAACAAGACATTGACGAGTGAAGGATTATTGGAGGAGAATGAAGCGATATATCGATTCTTCTGGTCTTTTATTCATTACATTGTTAAGATTTTAGAACTGGAGTTGGACTGATTATAGTGGTTATTGTGCTTCTTGTAACTTAGGTTGTTTTGGTTGAATGGAAGAAAATGTTTACTCGTCAAATTGTTCATGGCTACTTGTAAGCCCTTGGATGTACGGCTCAGAAAGTCATCCCATGCTTTCATCATAAAATTTGGGCTCGAAGATAAGATGCATGATATGTTGTACAATTTATACTTGGATTCTTCTGAATTCAAAGGCGTAAAACAACTTTTCAATGTGCTCGTGATCACAAGAAACCAAGTATAAATAGTACAAACTGTCGTGCATTTTATCTTCAAGCCCGAATTTTATGATGAAAGCATGAGTTGACTTTTCAAGCTATAAATCCAGAGACTTACGGTAGTCATGGACAATAGATAGGTAAACGTTTTCTTTGATTCAATAGAAACACCCCGAAACACAATGACCACTGTAATGATTCTAACTCCAGTTTTAAAATCCTAATAGTGTAATGTTATGGAATACTGGAGGAATCAATCATAGCTTCTATTTGATCTTTGCCTTATTAAATTATTGTTTGGTGCTTGTCTTTATATTCAATAGAAGAGATTATAATACATAGTGATACTAAATTTAAAAAAATAAAGTTTGGAGTTATCCATATGTTCGAGTTGAGTTATAGTCTTACAGACGTTTTTATAGATTAATGTAACAAATAATTTTTTGTTGTTAAAACAACATGGAAGTGCGAAGAGAACTCTACAAACCAAGACAGCACCTCAATTTATTGAACAAAAAGAAACACCACAAAGTAAGCATTATTCTCGGTACAATTGAAGTCGACTTTGTATAATGGAACGAAAATGTCATTAGAATATCATTCCATTCATAATTTATTTGGATATTAATTGCTCAAATGACAAATAATGAACTTAATTAGTTGAGTGAGTGCAATGAGTTCTTTGGAGACTAACTAATGCATAGTATGCTCCATTTGGTCCTTTGGCTAACAAGGAAGAGTGAGTACCTTGTTCTACCACTTTCCCTTTGCTCAAAACGGCAATCGTATCACAATTCTGTATGGTACTTAGCCTGTGTGCCACAACTACACTAGTCCTCCCCACCATCACACGCTCAAGTGCATCTTGCACCACATTCTCCGATTGCGAGTCTAATGCACTCGTGGCCTCGTCTAGTAACAAAACCGCAGGATTTTTCAAAATGGCACGTGCTATTGCAATTCGTTGCTTCTGCCCCCCGGATAGCTGCAGTCCTCTATCGCCACACCATGTATTATATCCATCCTTCAACCCCGTGATAAAATCGTGGGCATTTGCTACCTTAGCTGCCACGATGATCTCAGCTTCGTCCACGTGTTCTGATGCTCCATATGCGATATTTTGACGTATGGTACCGGCAAATAATGTGGGCTCTTGGCTTACAAGTGCAATGTGCTTCCTCAGTGACCTTAGGTTATATGACTTTATATCTAGGCCATCGATTTTTACTACACCTTTAAGTGGATCATAAAATCTTTCTACCAAACCTATTATGGTTGATTTTCCGGAGCCACTTTCTCCAACCAATGCTGTTGATTTTCCGGCTTCGATTATAATTGAAAAGCCTTTGAAGATCATAACTCTAGGCCTTGCAGGGTAGGCGAAATCAACATCATGTAACTCCACATGGCCAATTAATTTATTAGGCTTGTGGCCTTCTGGATCATCTGGCTCGATTAAGGAACGCCGATCCAATACTGCGAAAACTGATCCAACTGAATCGGAACCTTTAGCTAGATCGTTTGTCATTGTCCCAGCATCGGCTATAACACGGCCTGTGCTCACCAAGATCATGAACGTTTGGAACAGTGCTTTTGATCCCATGAAGCCTTCTGCAACAAGTTTACCACCATACCAGAAATCCAAAGCCCAAGTTAATGTCATGAGGCCTTGAGAGGCCCCAAGTCCTATACCTGCAAACCATGATTGGCGAATATTTTCTTTTTGTGGGCCTTCTTGGGCTTTCTCGAGCATCTGTAAAATTCTTGCTTGGGAGGAGAAGGCCGTGACAGTACGAATATTGGAAACAGCTTCTGCTGCGAGCTTGCTACTTTCATCTTGGGCTTTGATGGCCTTTTTGGACATGCTTTTAAGCAGGACACGCTTGCAATAGTAGCAAATTATGATGATAGGTTGTGCTGCTATCATTACCAATGCGAGCTTCCAGGCTATAATCAATCCCATGGTGCAAGCAATGGTCACTGCTGCGAAAGTTTGGAGAAGAAGTGCCATCCTATCGCCCACCAACGATCGAACCTATGGAAATGCGGGACACCATTTTGATATTAAATTCGATATAAGATCATAATTCAGTGGAAGAAATAATAGAAACGGTACTTGAAAAGTGCTCCATTTTACAAACATGCTTAGGTTTTCTCAAATACGCATGCCTAGTCAAGGTGGTTCTTAGTTCTTGTTCTCAAATGGTAAGAATTGTTAACAGATGCAATTCAATAGGACTCCAAACAGATGACTCTACTTAGAATTTCTTTGAAGACGCAAATTTTGTTACTTTATTATAGAAGAATAGTTGGTGAACTTACCACATTGGCATCTTTGGCAAGTCTTGAGCAAATAGCACCAGTGGCATTCTCATCCTGATCAAACCAACCGATTTCAAAAGTGAGTATCTTTGAAAACATTTTCTCTCTGATTCTTTTTGTTAAATACTCTCCCATGGCTCCAAAATTATAATGCTGGCAAATGTTGATCAACAGTGAGAAAATTGCTAACCCAAGGAAACTCAAAGAATATATTGCTGTCTTTTTCTTGATTATGCTGTGGTCTGGCTGGAAATACACAGATATAAGTGATCCCATAGCAAATGCATACACTGGCTGAATTGCACCAAATAACATTGCGCTTATACACCCTAATATTGCTTGCCTCCATTCTGGCAAATTCATAGCCAATAGTCTTCTAAATGAAGGCACGGGCAAAACTTGATCACCGGAAATTTTTGCAATGTTCGCTCCTTGGCTTGGCGATGCTGGGTTAGTTGAACTGGACTGACTAACAATTGATAGTCTTTTACTTACTGTGTTATGAATATCATCATTTGCACTGGTTGTTGATGCAGCAAGACTATTAGCATTTGTAACATCTTTACTTTTTTCTGTTTGCTGTAGACGGACAAGCGAACTATATAGGCTATTTTCATCCTCGATAAGCTCGTCATGGGAGCCAATCTCCATGACCTGACCATTTTGGACAACTGAAATGATGTCAGCATTTTGGATGGTGGAAAGACGGTGTGCTATGATGATGGTGGTGCGTCCTGCCACTGCCTTATCAAGTGCATCTTGAACAACTCGTTCCGATTCAGAGTCTAGAGCACTGGTTGCCTCATCAAGTAGGAGAATTTTCGGTGCCTTGATTAAAGCTCTTGCTATTGCAATTCTTTGTTTCTGTCCTCCAGATAGCTGTACTCCTCTCTCGCCCACCTACATACATTTAAATGTTACTAAAAGTTTGACAGAGCTTTTGGTAAAAAATTCAGCAAATTTTTATAAAAGTCGATAAAATATATGGTTAAAAAAGTGGATAAAAATTGTGGGTTTCATGAAATATATTACTACTAGTAGTAATGACCTCTGATAATGTAATAAGAAAGGTAGTGTACATAATATAATCTCACGTAGGAACATCCCCGCATCAGCAGAAAAAAAAAAGGCAAGGAACAAAAGCACGGCAAGGCAAACCTGGGTGTCATAACCTTGAGGCAATTGACTAATAAAATTATGAGCATTAGAAGCTTTGGCGGCCTCAATAACCTCTTCATAAGATGCATCCTCTTTGCCAAAAAGTATGTTCTCTTTAATTGTGGTAGCAAATAGGGCTGGCTCCTGACTTACCAGTCCCATTTGTGATCGTAGCCATTTCAGTTGCAACTTATCAACGGCGATCCCATCGAGAAGGACTTCGCCACTGAGTGGATCATAAAATCTCTGCAATAGAGAAATTACTGTTGACTTTCCAGACCCACTTCCTCCAACCAATGCCATTGTCTTTCCTGCTGGGATTCTCAAATTGAAATCTTTAAAAATAATGCTTTCGGGCCTTGATGGGTATGCAAATTCAATGTGTTTAAACTCGACTTCTCCCACAACATTTTGTAATACTTGTCCTGCCTTGTTCTCCGAATCTATTTTTGGCACTCTCGTTGTAACTTCCATTATGCGTTCACAAGCTGCAATTGCTTCGGAGAAGTACCTAAGGTTAGACAAACCAGTACCCAGTGCTCTGTTCCACAAGAAACAAAAACCATGACTAGTAAATTCATAGACTTGATACGCTTATTTATATACAAATGAAAGAAAATCCTTACAATCCACCAATGGCAATGGTAGCACCAACTGCAAAGACAGTGCCTCCTTTAGCGCTGTGATACATGACCAATGTACTTCCATAATAAGAAATGAAAGACCAAATTGCAAAGACGATGCTGTTACTACCAATGGCCAAACCTTTGGCTAAACCTTGCCTTAATCCCAATTTAACAGACCCTTGAAGAGCAGCAGAGTACTCAGCATTAGTCCTACTCTCCCCTACAAACGAGTAAACTGTTCGAATGGAAGAAATAGCTTGCTCCACAATTGTATCTGTCTTACTGTACTCATCCCTAATCTTTTGTGCAATGCCCATCAGAGATTTTCCGTAGATCAAACCTGGTATCACGAGTAATAGCGCAAATGGAAGTCCCACGACCGCTAGCCTCCAGACCATCAAGAAGGCCATTATATAGGCCCCCACAAAAGTCCATAAATTCATCAAAAAAACTGGAACCTGTTGCGAATTCAACAAGGTCAACACTCGAATCACAAAATCCTAGTATCAACTGAAACAAACACAAGCATAAACCAACCTTTTCAGTAATGACATCTTGAATTACAAGACTATCGCTAGAAACGCTTGCTATAACATCTGCTGTAGAGGCCACGTGCAAATCAAAGTAGCCTACATCTTGCCTAAGCACTGCTTTTAAATAACTTGTTCTTAAATGTGAAGCCTGTCTCTCGGCAGTTCTTGTCCAACAATAACCCTCTAGAGGAAAAAATAAATAAATAATTTACACTTGATTCATTTTTGAACTCCCCATTTAATTTCATGTAAGGGTAAAGGGTGACCTACCAAGGAAACAAGCAACACATTGCCCACAAGCCAGATAACACAAACCCAATGCATTCTACCACTCAAAAAAATCCAAATTCGGGTGACAATATTAGCATGACCAGCACTATACCAGTATGTAACTTCGACAAGTAGATGACATGACTCAAGAAGGATACAAAAGTAGAGTATAAACAACAATATGAGAATGAGTATAGATTTAATACAAGGTTAATTATCAGAACTTTCTATATGGATAAAAAAGAAGAAGTTGATGAACTAAATCCAAATTCGGGTGACAATAATAGCATAGTCAGGGGCGGATATAGAGGGACATGACAGAGCTACAGTCCAATCCTTTAGCCCATTTTATTTTGATGAGTAAAAAAAAATGTATGTTAAAAATATTTTTTTATGTGCATTTTTTTTTACATATTAGTTCGACTAAAAATTATTTTTAGTTTGATCCTGAATTTGCCTCTGAGCATGATATTGCAAATTATAAAAGTATAAATAACAAGATCTGACTAAAAATATTTTCTAAGAATCAGTGGTTGAGCCAGAACTTTTTGTTAAGGAGCAGAGAGTTGACGAAATATTTTGGTACAAAGTTTTTACCTTCGTAAAGGTTGAGGATGTAAAAAAAAGTCAAAGGACTAAATGTTAGGGATTCAAAAGTCCAATTGTAAAGATTGAGAACTTAAAAAAATGAGGAACTAAATGTTAGATATTCAAAAGTTCAATATAAAGGTTTATGATGTATTTGCTATATAATCTAAAGGTTAAGGACCAATTTTTCAAATTTTCTATAGATAAAGGGAAAATTATAAATGTAACGCAACTAGGATTGGAACTCACGTGTAGAAGGCAACCTATTGCAACTTTCAAGTTGAAAAGCTAAACTTTTACGTAGAAAATTATATATGTATTTTGTATTGTATTAAAAATTTGTATGTAATTTATCACGTAGAAGATGACTAAAGTGAAAGAACATATCAATATTGAAATTCTGAACGGTAAAATGGAAATTCAAAAATATATCTATAATAATATATTAAGGGTTGTTTGAGTCCAAATTTTTTTTTTTTCCAAAAAAAATGCATTTTGCAATAATATTATGATGAAGAATTTGTGGTTAAAAAAATAAGAAAAAGTTTTATGTTTGTATATAATTTTATTTTATTGAAAAATGTGTGGTTGAAATGAGATCAAATCACTATCCAACAATGCATTCTGATGAAAAAATAGGGCTCAAAGAAGTGTTAAATATGTGACGATCATTTTTTTTGGACGATTTTAACCCCTACTATAATTCAATTATTTCTATAATATCTTACTTTTCGTTTTTCAATGTCTAATAAATACTACAAAATCATCATCATATATGAATTTCATGTCATTAATTTTCAATTAATTAGCATTCATATTAATCTAAACTCAATGAATCCTGATTTGATGAATCTTGATATATATAAATCTAAAGTTATTATAAATCAATTTATTTCTATTCATATATCTAGGAATTTTAATGAATGTTTAAATTCATGTATTAACAAATAATTCTTATATAGCAAATGTAGTATAAAAAGGTTATTTATTTGTAATATTTCACCATCACAAAAAATTCAAATCATAAAAGTAGAGATTTGAGTGTACAATTTTCTTCTCTTAAATTTATATTCTAAATTTTATTTTTTTTAGTTCGTTTGAGACTTATTAAATCATCATAACAAATTGATATCAAATACTACTTTTACAACACTAATAAAATATTTAAGAATAACGTGTGATGCACGTTCAACTCTGACTAGCATATATAAACGTACGCAGTGAAGAAAGCCTGTTTCACCACGTAGAGTAGACCAACAGATTTGAATATTCAAATTATCAATACATGTTTCAACACCGGAGCAATAAAACTGTTCTAATTTACAGAAACAACACACAGTAAAAGTGCAGAGAGAAGGAGAGAGGAATCGAAATTCCATCACCAGCTGCACCCAAGAATCCCATAATCATCAAGAAAACATCAAAACCATCTGCATGAATGAAAATTGACCTAATAGAACTGTTCTTCTTCATTATCATTTTTAATTTCATTTTGTTATTTTCTTATCGTGACTTAAATTCAAGATCTTCTTTCACTACTTTTAGAAAGAAGAAGAAGAAGAAGGCTTCAAGGAGAATTTCCAGTATCTCTATCTTTTCCTGTATGGAGAGAGAGCGTTGTAGTTTTGAAATGAGTTCGCTCAATGGGTATAAATAGAGAAAAGTTTTCACTACCAACGTATTACTTACAAAGGATAAAGAACGGTACGAAAGCATTAAAGAACATACCTTTTACGGATAACCATCAATTTTTTAATGTCTAGTCAAAGGCACACTAGTAGCCAAAATGTCAATAAAACCATGCAGTTGACCGCCGCAATAGGTAAATTGTAAAATATAAAATAAAATAATAATTGGAGCGGGAACTATGGTCCCATCCCTGCCTCAATTACTAAACGGGACGGTCAAAAACTTGAAGCCAAAACATCATGTGGCCACTTGATTAATTCAGTAAAGTCACGGTCCTGGTCCAATACTTGGATATACGTCAAAAGAAACCAGAACCAAATCAACAAAAGTAAGCAGCACTGAAGCTATTTGGGGGCATCGGTCAATACACTGAAGCTTTAGTTTTCAATTCTGCAACATTTAGGTTTCAATCCAAAAAAGACTTCCAATGAGTCTGATATATAAAGTTTTAGTTGGGGGCAATACACAGAAGCTTGAAAATAAGAATAATGCTATTTGTAGCCGCTCATTGAGGCAATCGTGTTACATGATATAAAGATGTTATGTGGTTATTTGATGCATAACTCAATAAAAAAAAAACTATCACATTAATGTATCAAATAATCACCTGTCATATGTATGGAACGTAGGGCGACTGTCGTAGTCAACGACTACGAATAGCGTTACTTAAAAAAAAAAAAAAAGTAAACAAACATTTTCGATAATCATCCAGCATTGATTTTTTAACAATGATTTTTGCTGAATTGTGTAACAAATATATAACGTCATTTTGTGATAGGTGGAAATTAGTAATCCCCCCATAATGCTTTTTACGTACCGAGTGATTATTCATGTAATCGATAAAAAATTGAGGAATATTATTGTAAGAAAATAATTTCAGTGACCATTAATGTTATCAACCCGGCCCACACGGCTAGGCTTACAATTTTTCCTTATAACCTAGCATGCTTGAACACCAATACGTGTGGTATTTTGCTTCTTATGTCTAAAACATGTAACACCTCCAATTGAACTAGAACAAATCCTCATGTACAAAGGATTTGTTCACAGGGGCCTTACTGGCCCCTCAAAAGGGGCCCGGCCTCACATGTATTAAAAAAAATTGTGCTGACCCCACACCATGTGCGTTATCTGTAAAAAAAAAATTCTATACACCAAGAGGGGTTCATGAATAAAACTATTTGTACACCAAGTGTACGTACACCTATCTCACATGAATAGTGTGCACAAATATTTTATTGTGTGTGGGACCCCCCTCCACGCGATGGGAGTGTAAAAGATTGTGTGAATGATTATGTACATGTAGCATGATTGGGGGTTCATCGAACTAAGTCAGCTAGTTAAAAGTCCGTCCACATGTAGGAAGGCAACTGGGCAAGGTGCCCCTTCCATCCATGTACAATTGGAAATTTTTTAGAGTCAATGATTAATAAAATTCACTTTTACTTATTTATTTATTTTCTAAAATGCGATTTAAATTGGAAATATAAATGAAAATAATAATCGGGAACTATGTTTTCATCCCTAATAAATACATTTTTTGTCTCGTTCTAACACAAGGTATTTTCAGATTTGCTACTCGCCACTTGGTATTGCTGCTGGAAATAGATATTCCATACGTTAATTATTAAGTACTCTTTTGAAGAGATCTGCTCAACAAAAGAGCAATCAAATAAAATTTTGAGGTTCTATTCTACGTTTCTAGAGCCTATGTTGGGATTTCATTACCGGCGTTGTATTTCATAGGCTACTGAAGGTGATGCTGCCTCTAAGATTGGAACTTTGAAAAACACGGCAACGAGCATTTCTGAAAGCGATGGAAGTCCAAATCCAAATGCTAATGCTACTATCTTGAACTTGAAGGAGCCAAAGCCTAACTGCAATCAAGATTCAAATGCATCACCTCAACGAGTCAGTTCTTGTAAGATGAGCTTCACAAATATGGATACTCAGGTTAAAGATGATAGATCAACTGTTGCATCTGGTGGACAATTACCCAACTCCGATACAGCTGTCACCATAGAATCAGATGTAAATCATGGTATGTGTATAGTTGAACCCTTGGTTCTATGTTATTACTGATGCGTGAGTATTGTCTAATATTTTGACATTATCTTAGTGTGACTTCTTGTAGCATTCTTTTATCTTATCTTTCTTTTTCATTTGTATTGATTTGTATATATTTTTGATTTTCTATCGTGGAATATTCATTTTCAACTTCAAGAGCCTGCTACAAATTCTTCTTGATCTAATAAACGTCTCGGTGAGGACAAACATGTGTCCAAGTTTAATTTGGAAGATACACTGTGCTCAAGTTTGAAATCGACGAGTTTTCATTCACGGTGTTTTATTTCATTTCCTCTACATCATATTGGTACTAGAGCCAAAGATGTCTTCAAGATCAGGATAGAGGCTGCCGGTTCATTATACAAATGTTGATGAGATCATGCGTCGAGAAGAAATGACACAACTGCGCCAACATGTGGACTTGATGAAATGATAGGCCACCATCAAGTATCAACAACTAGAGGTGTTGGAATTCTTAGGCGGCGCAGTTGGCAATGATTTTTTCGGATGGCGATTCCGACATGAATTTAAATCTTTTCACTCCTCTCGATCCCAAACAATGAGATAAGTTCGATGGTGATGACACTTTTGATGATCCGCCTATTTTCGATATGGAGAATGCAACACGAGCCAATAAAGGGTGAAATAATATATGATAATTTATTCTTTGACATTTCTAGAAGGGTTATTTGATAGATGATTGTTTGGCCCCAAGGAAGACAAGAATTCAGGTAGAAGAACTACAAAGACATAGTGATACTAAATAAAAAAATAAAATTTGGAGTTATCCACATGTTCGAGTTGAGTTATAGTCTTACAGACCTTGGTTTTTATAGATTAATGTAACAAATAATTTTTTGTTGTGAAAACAGCATGGAAGTGCGAAGAGAACTCCACAAACCAAGATAGCACCTCAATTTATTGAACAGAACGAAACACCACAAACTAAGCATTATTCTCGGGACACTTGAAGCCGACTTTGTATAATGGAATGAGAATGTCATTCCATTCACAAGTTATTAGGATATCAATTGCTCAAATAACAGATAATGAACTCAATTAGTTGATTGAGTGCTATGAGTTCTTTGGAGACTAACTAATGCATAGTATGCTCCATTTGGTCCTTTGGCTAGCAAGGAAGAGTGAGTACCTTGTTCTACCACTTTCCCTTTGCTCAAAACGGCAATTGTATTAGAATTCTGTATGGTACTTAGCCTGTGTGCCACAACTACACTTGTCCTCCCCACCATCACACGCTCAAGTGCATCTTGCACCACTTTCTCCGATTGAGAGTCTAATGCACTCGTGGCCTCGTCTAGTAACAAAACCGCAGGATTTTTCAAAATGGCACGTGCTATTGCAATTCGTTGCTTCTGCCCCCCGGATAGCTGCAGTCCTCTATCGCCACACCATGTATTGTATCCATCCTTCAACCCTGTGATAAAATCGTGGGCATTTGCTGCCTTAGCTGCCATGATGATCTCAGCTTCGTCCACGTGTTCTAATGCTCCATATGCGATATTTTGACGTATGGTACCGGCAAATAATGTGGGCTCTTGGCTTACAAGTGCAATGTGCTTCCTCAGTGACCTTAGGTTATATGACTTTATATCTAGACCATCGATTTTTATTACTCCTTTAAGTGGATCATAAAATCTTTCTACCAAACCTATTATGGTTGATTTTCCGGAGCCACTTTCTCCAACCAATGCTGTTGATTTTCCGGCTTCGATTATAATTGAAAAGCCTTTGAAGATCATCACTCTAGGCCTTGCAGGGTAGGCGAAATCAACATCATGCAACTCCACATGGCCGGTTAATTTATTAGGCTTGTGGCCTTCTGGATCATCTGGCTCGATTAAGGAACACCGATCCAATACTGCGAAAACTGATCCAACTGAATCGGAACCTTTAGCTAGATCGTTTGTCATTGTCCCAGCATCGGCTATAACACGACCTGTGCTCACCAAGATCATGAACGTTTGGAACAGTGCTTTTGATCCCATGAAGCCTTCTGCAACAAGTTTACCACCATACCAGAAATCCAAAGCCCAAGTTAATGTCATGAGGCCTTGAGAGGCCCCAAGTCCTATACCTGCAAACCATGATTGGCGAATATTTTCTTTTTGTGGGCCTTCTTGGGCTTTCTCGAGCATCTGTAAAATTCTTGCTTGGGAGGAGAAGGCCGTGACAGTACGAATATTGGAAACAGCTTCTGCTGCGAGCTTGCTACTTTCATCTTGGGCTTTGATGGCCTTTTTGGACATGCTTTTAAGCAGGACACGCTTGCAATAGTAGCAAATTATGATGATAGGTTGTGCTGCTATCATTACCAATGCGAGCTTCCAGGCTATAATCAATCCCATGGTGCAAGCAATGGTCACTGCTGCGAAAGTTTGGAGAAGAAGTGCCATCCTATCGCCCACCAACGATCGAACCTATGGAAATGCGGGACACCATTTTGATATTAAATTCGATATAAGATCATAATTCAGTGGAAGAAATAATAGAAACGGTACTTGAAAAGTGCTCCATTTTACAAACATGCTTAGGTTTTCTCAAATACGCATGCCTAGTCAAGGTGGTTCTTAGTTCTTGTTCTCAAATGGTAAGAATTGTTAACAGATGCAATTCAATAGGACTCCAAACAGATGACTCTACTTAGAATTTCTTTGAAGACGCAAATTTTGTTACTTTATTATAGAAGAATAGTTGGTGAACTTACCACATTGGCATCTTTGGCAAGTCTTGAGCAAATAGCACCAGTGGCATTCTCATCCTGATCAAACCAACCGATTTCAAAAGTGAGTATCTTTGAAAACATTTTCTCTCTGATTCTTTTTGTTAAATACTCTCCCATGGCTCCAAAATTATAATGCTGGCAAATGTTGATCAACAGTGAGAAAATTGCTAACCCAAGGAAACTCAAAGAATATATTGCTGTCTTTTTCTTGATTATGCTGTGGTCTGGCTGGAAATACACAGATATAAGTGATCCCATAGCAAATGCATACACTGGCTGAATTGCACCAAATAACATTGCGCTTATACACCCTAATATTGCTTGCCTCCATTCTGGCAAATTCATAGCCAATAGTCTTCTAAATGAAGGCACGGGCAAAACTTGATCACCGGAAATTTTTGCAATGTTCGCTCCTTGGCTTGGCGATGCTGGGTTAGTTGAACTGGACTGACTAACAATTGATAGTCTTTTACTTACTGTGTTATGAATATCATCATTTGCACTGGTTGTTGATGCAGCAAGACTATTAGCATTTGTAACATCTTTACTTTTTTCTGTTTGCTGTAGACGGACAAGCGAACTATATAGGCTATTTTCATCCTCGATAAGCTCGTCATGGGAGCCAATCTCCATGACCTGACCATTTTGGACAACTGAAATGATGTCAGCATTTTGGATGGTGGAAAGACGGTGTGCTATGATGATGGTGGTGCGTCCTGCCACTGCCTTATCAAGTGCATCTTGAACAACTCGTTCCGATTCAGAGTCTAGAGCACTGGTTGCCTCATCAAGTAGGAGAATTTTCGGTGCCTTGATTAAAGCTCTTGCTATTGCAATTCTTTGTTTCTGTCCTCCAGATAGCTGTACTCCTCTCTCGCCCACCTACATACATTTAAATGTTACTAAAAGTTTGACAGAGCTTTTGGTAAAAAATTCAGCAAATTTTTATAAAAGTCGATAAAATATATGGTTAAAAAAGTGGATAAAAATTGTGGGTTTCATGAAATATATTACTACTAGTAGTAATGACCTCTGATAATGTAATAAGAAAGGTAGTGTACATAATATAATCTCACGTAGGAACATCCCCGCATCAGCAGAAAAAAAAAAGGCAAGGAACAAAAGCACGGCAAGGCAAACCTGGGTGTCATAACCTTGAGGCAATTGACTAATAAAATTATGAGCATTAGAAGCTTTGGCGGCCTCAATAACCTCTTCATAAGATGCATCCTCTTTGCCAAAAAGTATGTTCTCTTTAATTGTGGTAGCAAATAGGGCTGGCTCCTGACTTACCAGTCCCATTTGTGATCGTAGCCATTTCAGTTGCAGCTTATCATCGGCGATCCAATCGAGAAGGACTTCGCCACTTCGTGGATCATAAAATCTCTGCAATAGAGAAATAAATGTAGACTTTCCAGACCCACTTCCTCCAACCAATGCCATTGTCTTTCCTGCTGGGATTCTCAAATTGAAATCTTTAAAAATAATGCTTTCGGGCCTTGATGGGTATGCAAATTCAATGTGTTTAAACTCGACTTCTCCCACAACATTTTGTAATACTTGTCCTGCCTTGTTCTCCGAATCTATTTTTGGCACTCTCGTTGTAACTTCCATTATGCGTTCACAAGCTGCAATTGCTTCGGAGAAGTACCTAAGGTTAGACAAACCAGTACCCAGTGCTCTGTTCCACAAGAAACAAAAAAGATGACTAGTAAATTCATAGACTTGTTACACTTAATTATATACAAATGAAAGAAAATTCTTACAATCCACCAATGGCAATGGTAGCACCAACTGCAAAGACAGTGCCTCCTTTAGCATTGTGATACATGACCAATGTACTTCCATAATAAGAAATGAAAGACCAAATTGCAAAGACGATGCTGTTACTACCAATGGCCAAACCTTTGGCTAAACCTTGCCTTAATCCCAATTTAACAGACCCTTGAAGAGCAGCAGAGTACTCAGCATTAGTCCTACTCTCCCCTACAAACGAGTAAACTGTTCGAATGGAAGAAATAGCTTGCTCCACAATTGTATCTGTCTTACTGTACTCATCCCTGATATTTTGTGCAATGCCCATCAGAGATTTTCCGTAAATCAAACCCGGTATCACAAGTAATACCGCAAATGGACGTCCCACAATCGCTAGCCTCCCGACTAATCTTTTGTGCAATGCCCATCAGAGATTTTCCGTAGATCAAACCTGGTATCACGAGTAATAGCGCAAATGGAAGTCCCACGACCGCTAGCCTCCAGACCATCAAGAAGGCCATTATATAGGCCCCCACAAAAGTCCATAAATTCATCAAAAAAACTGGAACCTGTTGCGAATTCAACATGGTCAACACTTGAATCAAAAAATCCTAGCATCAACTGAAACAAACACAAGCATGAACCAACCTTCTCACTAATGACATCTTGAATTACAAGACTATCGCTGGAAACGCTTGCTATGACATCTGCTGTAGAGGTCACATGCAAATCAAAGTAGCCTACATCTTGCCTAAGCACTGCTTTTAAATAACTTGTTCTTAGACGTGAAGCCTGTCTCTCGGCAGTTCTTGTCCAACAATAACCCTCTAGAGGAAAAAAAATTACACTTGATTCAGTTTTGAACTCTCCATTTAATTGTCTCTAATTTCATGTAAGGGTAAAAGGAGACCTACCAAGGAAACAAGCAACACATTGCCCACAAGCCAGATAACACAAACCCAATGCATTCTGTCACTCAAAAAAATCGAAATCCAGGTGACAATATTAGCATGGCATGCACACCAATATGTAACTTCGACAAGTAGATGACATGACTCAAGAAGGATACAAAAGCAAAGCATAAACAACAAGATGAGAATGAGTATACAAGGTTATTTACTAGAACTTTCTATATGGACAAAAAAAGAAGTTGAGGAACTAAATGCTGAGGATGTATTTGCTATATGTGTTAAAGATGAAGGACCAACTTTGCAAAATTTTCAAAAGGAAAATTGAATTCAGTCACAGAAAAAATCCAAATCCGAATGACAATATTAGCAAGGTTAGGGGCGGATATAAGGGGACAGGACAGAGCTACGGTCCAGTTCTTTAGCCCATTTTATTTTGATGAGTAAAAAAAAAAAAAAAAATTGTATGTAAAAATTATTTTTTTTTGTGTATTTTTTTTTAACATATTAGTTCAGCTAGAAATTATTTTTAGTTCAATCTTGAATTTGCCTTTGAGCATGAATTGCATAGTATAAACAACAAGATTAGACTGGGCATATTTTCTATAATGATGCTACACGTACAGGACATGAGGGGTTCACTGCCAGGTCACTCACTGTACATGGAGGGTGTATTTTTTTTCTTTTTTTTGAAAAGATGTGGGGCCCGCTGTGTGAGTGGCCTAGCAAGCCCCTGTGAATTATGCTCTTGTACTTGGAGCAAAATTCTATTTTCTAATGATCAGTGATTGAGCCAGAACTTTTTGTTAATAAGTAGAGAGTTGTCAAAATATTTTGGTACAAAGCTTTTACCTTCTTAAAAGTTGAGGATGTAAAAAAAATCAAAGGACTAAATGTTAGAGATTCAAAAGTCCAACTGTAAAGGTTGAGAATGTAAAAAATTGAGAAACTAAATGTTAGAGATTCAAAAGTCCAATATAAAGGTTGATGATGTATTTGCTATATAATCTAAAGGTAAGGACCAATTCTTCAAATTTTCTGTAGAAAAAAGGAAAATTATAAGTGTAACACGGGAAGGATTGGAACTCACGTGTAGAAGGCAACCTATTGCAACTTTCATGTTGGAAAGCTAAGGATCTATTCTCTTTATCATTTTCAAACTCTTTTTTGTTTTCGATTTTTCAAAACAGTGAAAATTCGTTCTCTTTCCTATTTTCAAAAACGTGTTTCTAAAAATAAGTTAAAAATTTACAAAGAAAACCTAAAACTACAAATTTATCGTTTTTGGTGTTTTCAGTTATAATCAAGTCAAAATTTTCAAAATGCGTTTTAAGTGTTTTCAAAATAATTTTTTAAAATGTCAAAAAGAACACATTTTCAACAATCTCAAAATGAACACTCAAAACACAAAATCCAAAATGAATTCAAAATTCAAAATAGAAAACTGAAACACAAAGAAAACAGTCCCTAAATTTTCACGTAGAAAATTATATATGTATTTTGTATTATATTAAAAAAAATGTACATAATTTATCACGTAGAAGTTGACTAAAGTGAAAGAAATATCCATTGAAATTCTGAAAGAGAAAATGGAAAGTCAAAAATATATCTATAATAATATATGAAGCGTTGTTTGAGTTCTTTTTTCAAAAAAATGCATTTTACAATAATGTTACGATGAAAAATGTGTTGTTAAAAAATAAGAAAAAGTTTTAGGTTAGCGCATAATATTATTTTACTGAAAAATGTGTGGATGAAATGAGATCAAATCACTATTCATCAATGCATTCTAATAAAATAAAAAGTGGCTCAAACAAGTGTTAAATATGTGAAGATCATTTTTTGAACGATTTTAACCCTACTATAATTCAATTATTTCAATAATATCTTACTTTTCGTTTTTCAATATGTAATAAATACTACAAAATCTTCGTCATGTATGAATTTCGTGTTATTAATTAACATTCACATTAATCTAGACTCAATGAATCCTAATTTGATGAATCTTGATCTACATGAATTTAGAGTTATTATAATAATGAATGTTTAAATTCATGTATTAAAAATTAATTTTTATATACCAAATGAAATATAAAAATGTTATTCATTTGTAGTATTTCATCAAAACAAAAAATTTGAATCATAGAGATTTGAAAGTACACTTTTCTTCTCTTAATCTAATTTTTTTTTTTTAAGTTCGTTTATCCTTCCAATAAATTGGTATCAAATACTACTTTTACAACGCTAATAAAATATTTAAGAATAACGTGTAATACACGTTCAACTCCGTCTAGCATATATAAGCGTACGCAGTGAAACAGGCTTTCAAAAAAAGCGTGTTTCAGCACGTAGAGTAGACCAACAGATTTGAGTATTCAAATTATCAATACTACATGCTTCAACACCGGAGCAATAAAACTGTTCTAATTTACAGAAACAAACACAGTAAAGTGCAGAGAGAAGGAGAGGGAGAGAGAGAGAGAGAGAGAGACCTGATTGACAACTTGTGTGAAATAGTTAACGATTGAAGCATTCTCAGCACCAAAATTGTTCATCAGCTTTGCAGTAATATAAGTCATTAATGGAATCGAAATTCCATCACCAGCTGCACCCAAGAATCCCATAATCATCAAGAAAACATCAAAACCATCTGCATGAATGAAAATTGACCTAATAGAACTGTTCTTCTTCATTATCATTTTTAATTTCATTTTGTTATTTTCTTATCGTGACTTAAATTCAAGATCTTCTTTCACTACTTTTAGAAAGAAGAAGAAGAAGAAGGCTTCAAGGAGAATTTCCAGTATCTATATCTTTTCCTGTATGGAGAGAGAGCGTTGTAGTTTTGAAATGAGTTCGCTCAATGGGTATAAATAGAGAAAAGTTTTCACTACCAACATATTACTTACAAAGGATAAAGAACGGTACGAAAGCATTAAAGAACATACCTTTTACGGATAACCATCAATTTTTTAATGTCTAGTCAAAGGCACACTAGTAGCCAAAATGTCAATAAAACCATGCAGTTGNTAGAAAAAATTATCACTTTAATGAACAATCTCCATGAAAAACGAAGTCAAACGGATACCAAACTTTCAACATTTTTCAGGTGGAAAATTATACCAATCAAACACAATTAATTACAATTCCCAGTAAATTAAAATTTTCGACGATCGTACGCTAATCGAATATACAAATTGCTTATGCCATCTCAAAACTTATTTCGAGAACTACATTATAGGCATATTAAATAATCCAAATAGATATTGACAATAGTTAAAAATGTGTTAAACGTGAGTTTTAAAGAAAGGCGTTTTAACTCTAATTTTTTTTAAAAAAATTCAATTATTTCATTAACATTTATTATTTTTGCAATACAAATTTCTTAATGTAATTTTCATCCTATTATTAGGAAATTTTATATGGAATATGAGATAAAAAATTTCGAAATTTTACATCTGAAAAAGTCATATCTCATATAAATTTTCGGATGTAAAATTACATTGGGATATGACATAAATTTTTTTCGAAATTTTACATCTGAAAAAGTCATATCCATGTAAATTTTCGGATGCAAAATTACATGAGATATTTTTTTTGGACGTAAATTTTCGATTGTAAAATGTTTCTCAATTTCTTTGCAAGTTCGATTGTACTCTATAACTTTAAACTTTTGAGTCCGCCCCTGAGTATTGCTGTAAGAAAATAATTTCAATTACCGTTGATGTTATTAGCGCCCACAACGGGTAGGCTTATAATTTTCAAAATTTCCCTGCAAACTTGCTGAAAACCGCTAAATGTTCCTTATAATCACTTAGCATGCTTGAACACCAACTCCATGTGGTATTTTGCTTCTTATGTCTAAAACATGTAAACCCTCCAATTGAACTTAAGTCGGCTAGCTAAAAGTCCGTTCATATGTAGAGAAGGCAACTAGGCGAGGTGGCCCTTACCATCCATGTCAAATCGGAATTTGTTGAGAGTCAGGGATTAATACAATTAACTTTTACTTATTTATTATTTTTTAAATGCTATTTAAATTGTAAAATATAACATAAAATAATAATTGGGGCGGGAACTATGTTCCCATCCCGGCCTCAATTACTAAACGGGACGGGGACGAGTAATTTTGCTATCCCTATTAGGGGTAGACGAAATGTCCAGACCAAACCAGAATCAAACCAAACCAAGCGGTTCGATTCGATTCGATTTTACAAAAAAAATCAATAGTTTTGATTCTTCGAACAAAAAATCATTTGGTTATAGTTTTGGTTCGATTCAGATTCTAGAACCAAGAACCAAATCGAGAACCAAACTTAATTTATAATTTTATTTTTTGTATGAATTTGATTTTAGGTTAATTGAAATCAGCCCAATAGCCATTATTTTGGTACAGTCCATAAAACGTGTTTAGCTCATTAATTTTAGCCCATGTTTGGTCCCCATTAAATTAAATTACATTATATTAAATTTTTCTCTCTTTTCATTACAACCACACATTTATCAAATAAAATAATATTACACACAAATCTAAAACTTTTCATTACTTTTCCACCACACATTCTCCCATTAATCACTATTCCAAAAATTTTCAACTATCAAAAATGCCAAATAATGGGGGCCAAACAAGGGCTTAATTGTATTCAAAATGTGTGTTTAAACATCACTTCAATACATTATTTCAAATTCAAACCCTGAAAGTTCCAAACACTTCCAGACACCTTTCTAAATTCCTAATCCCTCAAACAACGCAGTTTTTATGTGCGGAAACTCCAACTTTGTCGCCACCAATTTACTGTTCCTCCAAGCCATCATGAGTATAGTAAAAAATATCATCATTTACTGGACATCTTTCTTTTCTTTTATAGTTTTTTGTGCAACTTTACAAATATTAGTCAAATATTGTAGTCAGACAATATTTCTGTGGGATGCATTGCATGTCGAGTACCA